ACATTTTGTAAATAGTACATCCTGACAGAACTTCACAGATGCTTCAAAGACAACCTTTGCCTTCAAATAATAAACCATACACATATTAAGGATCTCAACCATTTCTCAGTGATCCATGTTATGTTACATCAACACAGCCATTCTTATTGATCACTACTGTATGTGATCAATAAAATAGTTTTTGCCACAATGGTTCTTTTTTTTTTAAAGATTTTATTTATTTATTTGACAGAGAAAGAGACACAGTGAGAGAGGGAACACAAGTGGGGGAGTGGGAGAGGGAGAAGCAGACTTCCCACTGAGCAGGGAGCCCGATGCTCGATCTCAGGACCCTGGGATCATGACCTGAGCCAAAAGCAGACACTTAAGGACTGAGCCACCCAGGCGCCCCATTGCCACAATGGTTCTTATAACACTTTTTATTAGTAGCAAATACTCTCTTAGTACAATCATTCAGTTGTACTCTTCATATTTGATCCCAATTTCACATTATTCAATGAGGAACATAATGCCATGTCATCTTTATCATTCCCATTTTCCAGCCCCTACATCACCTCTACGTCTCCTATGATTGTAAGAGTATCTCTTATGCAGAACCAGGAAAAAAACCTTTTTTGCATTCTCAATCTAAAGATTAGAGAAAAATGTTTAATTGACAAAGAAAACTCATGCATGTGTGTATATCATTTAAAACTGTATTTATACATTGTACATAAATACTGAGAATTCTAGTAGGCAAAGCCAGAGTTTACTCTTTAACAAAACTGATGCAGTCTTAATTGATCTTGAAAACCACAAAATTAATGTATTCACCTATTTTTTAAAAATCAGATAATCTACAATATACAAAAGGGGAGAAAGTGTCACTGCTCTCCTCTTCCCAAACAACACACCTCTGTAAGCCCAGGAGATAACTAATGAGTACAGTTCATTGTATTTCCTTCAGGAATTACCCTGTATTTCTACCCATATATATCTATTACAATAGAGTCAGAATATCATACAAAATATACCATTCCGTGGCCTATATTTTCATGATCACCTTCCATGTGACCATACAGAAACCTACTTCATTCTCTTATTTGTTGCTTAGTGTTCCATTGCAAAGCTCTAACATAATTAGTTTAACCAAATTCCCATTGATGAAGATTTCAGTTATTTTCCATTTCTTCAACTTTTAAACAACATTTCAATGAGCAGTCTTGTATACACATTTGAGCACACTCGTCTACTCATTTCCAAGCCTAGGACAGTCTACGGAGTTTCTTTTCCCTTCCCCCATCCCAGGGTTTTCTGCCATGCATGCTGCTTCCATTGGGTGACTCTACTCCCAGGGCCAATGAAGTGCATGAGCTCTGAGTTCCAATCCCAGCTCTGCCACTCACTGCTATGGTGAAGTTACTTAAGTCTCAGCACTCAACTTTCCTCATCTACAGAATAGGGAAAATATCAGTTTCTAGTTCCTAGATTTAGGGGATAATTAAATGTGATGATTCATGTACAATGTCTGACACTTTGTAAGTGCTCAATTAATGTCAAGTACAATGACTGGTATTGCTTGTATCTCTGCAGAGACAATCACTCTATCCTCTTTAGGATCTATGTTGACTATGTCCTCAGTCAACTATTTTGCACACTAAATGTCCACTTGCCAGTTTCTCTCTTCTCTCTACTTCCAAGATTCCTCTCTTTCCTCATCATCTGGGGAGATCCACTGCTGATTTTGCTATTAAAGACAATAGCAAAGCTCTCAGTGACAGAATCAAGGAAACCTACCTATGATTTCTCTTGTAAAACTTAGTATTGCAGTGGTCAGTATTAGTCCTTGATCTATTATAACTTATTAGCTCTGGTCCATTTTTGATTTTCAACTATTCATTGTTAGGTGTTTTTTTATTTCTTCATTCTGTAAATGTTTGTTGAACATTTGCCAAGTAAAGATAAGGACTGATCCTTCCAAATACAAGACAATGAAACATCAACTTACAATCCAGTAGAGTAGAAAGAATCTGAGAGCAGGTAAGAAAAATTAGGCATTCTAGATCTGCCTCTGTGCTCTGTAAAGTGGAGTCACTTGCTAGGGGATAATCCAGGAGAAGGTCTCTGGAGTTGAGTTTTGAAAGACTTCATTGTTCACAAGCTAACACAGGTGAGCAAAGGTGTTTCCAAGCAGAGAGAGAGTTTTGTTGTTTTTTTTTTTTTTTTAAGATTTTATTTATTTATTTGACAGAGAGAGAGAGAGTTAGCGAGAGCAGGAACACAAGCAGGGGGAGTGGGAGAGGGAGAAGCAGGCCCCCTGCAGAGCAGGGAGGCCGATGCGGGGCGATCCCAGGGCCCTGGGATCATGACCTGAGCTGAAGGCAGACGCTTAACACCTGAGCCACCCAAGCGCCCCCAGAGAGAGAGTTTTATAAGAGCTGCAAGCCACAGAAGAGCTGTAAGGAATTGAGGATGGTGAGAGGAATGTATGCTGAGGGGGGATGGAAGGTTAAGAGGGAAACAAGACTGCAGTAAGTGGAGCTGCACTTAAAATGAGATCTTCAGTGTCCTTGATGGGGTTACTGTGGAAACACCATGGCATGCCATGATTCCCTGACAGCTCCAAAGACAGCATGCACTTGGTTCAGCTCATTGAACATGATGGACAACAGATGACCAACTAAGTAAAGTCTACTTTCTACTCTATTGATCTTTGTTTTAGGGGCACCTGGGTGGCTCAGTCAGTTGGGTCTCTGGCTCTTGATTTCAGCTCAGGTCATGGTCTCAGAGTCTTGAGGTCGTGGGATCAAGCCCCATGCCAGGCTCTGCACTCCTAGCTCAGCACAAAGTCCTCCATCTCCCTCCACTTCTGCCCCTCTCCCCAGCCCCAACCTGGCTCATGCTCTCGTTCTAAATAAATAAGTAAAATCTCTATTGATCTTTTAGTTTCATGTGTCATCTATAGCTTCATGCCAAAATACCTTTCAAAGTAAAACATGGGCCTTGATCTGATCTACATTTAGTCTACCTTTTTTGAAACAACATCATGGCAGAGGAGAGGGTCATAGGAAAATGTTCTTTAATTATTCTTACCTGAGAGAAACTAGAATCCCATAATTACACTGAATGAGGTTTATCATCTGCAACAGCTCCCCCACCCCCAGGAGAAAGCATAAAAAAGTGCAATTTTTATTTTTTTTTAAGATTTTATTTATTTATTTGACAGAGAGAGACACAGCAAGAGAGGGAACACAAGCAGGGGGAGTGGGAGAGGCAGAAGCAGGCTTCCCGCTGAGCAGGGAGCCCGATGCGGGGCTCGATCCCAGGACCCTGGGACCATGACCTGGGCCAAAGGCAGACGCTTAAGGACTGAACCACTCAGGCGCCCAAGAGTGCAATTTTTAAAACTTGTTTGTTTTCTTTGTAATTTCCATTCAGCCCACTTTCCAATAAATCAATAAATCAATCAATAAATAAGAAACAGTCCAGATATGGTAGACTGCTGAAGAAAGGGACCATCAGGCCATAGACATAAATAAATATATCCTCTTCCAGGACTTTAGATCTCACCTAAGAAAACATTCTCTGTCAGGGAAGGCCTAGGCTTTGCATACCTGCTGGGAAAAGAGTGAAGCTTCAGCAGCCGACCCAGGGCTTGGTTCCCCTTCCGTGAGAAGGGTTTTTGTACAGTGACACAATGGAGAGCTGTCACTGTGGTGGACGTTCGGCGCAGGAACCAAGGTGGAAATCAAACGTGAGTAAAATCCAAACCTTCCTTCCTCAGTTGTGTCTTATGGTCCCCGTGCCTGAGACTGGATCTATAGAAGCAGATGTTTTGAAATCAGGCTCTGACATCCTCTGGGACAAAGATAAAATCTGTAAACAAACTGGAAAATTGGTTGCACGTTTTCCATGAAGAACAAAATTCAGTCAATGAGTGAGATAAACTCGTCTAAGTGATAGTTTCAGAAATGTACTGGCAAGCATAAAGGAGAGCCTTGCTCAACTGTCAGAAAAGGAAACTCAGTTTTTGTATAGGAGGGAAGTTAGGAGGAATTACTGTGTGTACACGTTCAGCCAGGGGACCAAGCTGGAGATAAAACGTAAGTATTTTTTTCAACCAATTCTTCACTGTTTCTAATTTGTTTGCCGCATTTTTTCCCCCCGCCTTTTCATGTGTTCTAATTAGTTACATGTCAGGGATAAAACAAATTTCATTCCCAGATTAGGTACAGAGAAGGGAAAATTGTTCCACTGGAGGCTAGCTGAGGGCTAATTTTTAAGATTTCCAAATCAAAATAGGGTAACGGGAGAGAGGGGCTTGCTACCTTTTCAGGGAGGGTTTTTGTAGAGATGGAGGTTAAGGGAAATCACTGTGGTTCACTTTCAGCCAAGGTACCACACTGGAGATCAAACGTAAGTACATTTTTGCTCAATTCTTTGTGAGGTTTTTGTCCTGTTTTATCATTTGTTCAAGTTTGTGACATTTTGGTAAAATGAGCCATTCCTGGTGACCCAAAAGTAAATAGCAGAAAACAGCCAACTTTACAGCTAAGCAAACAAACTGTTGAGTTTGTGATGAGAATAGGCTTTGTGGGGGGGAATGGGAGACGAATAGCTGGATTTTTCTCTGAATTGGCCTTTCTTCTATGATTGGCGTCAGAAGAAGGTTTTTGTTAAGGGGTAAGTGTCAGAGCCCTCACTGTGGCTCACGTTCGGCCAGGGGACCAAGGTGGAGCTCAAACGTAAGTACACTTTTCTAGTCCTTTTTCTTGTCGAGTTGTGAAATTTGGGGCTTTTCATGTGTGGGATGTGAGCTGAGGTCAATTCCAAAGAGAATGGGATTCTTCCGAAAATCAGATGAGTAATGTACTGAAAATCAGTTTGCCTCAAGGAAGAGCGAAGAGCTAGTTAGTTGACATGGCATCTAAATTGCCAGATTTTCTCTGTATCCGTCAATCTAATGAGCTTAGCAGCAAATAGAGGTTTTTGCTGAGGGGAAAGTAATTAAACTAATACAGTGGGCCACCTTTGGCCCAGGGACACGTCTGGAGATTAAACGTAAGTAATTTTTCTCTATAGCTTGTTGAAATGTGGTTCTAAATGCCAGTACTGACTTTTAGAGGCTTAAGGTTGAATTCTGTGCAGATGAGTACATGAGACTATTTCAGATTTATCACCAATTTCTAAAGTTAAACTCAGCTGCAAAAATGGATTTGTAGACAAAAAGATTAATTTAATCTAAATTGCAAGATTCAAAAGGAAAAAATTAGTATAGTATGAAAAAGAAACTTTGGAGCTCAAGAGAAAAAGCAAACTAATTTTTATTGAGTTTTGCCAAATGTTATATTGATTTTTGCTCATTATGTATGATACAGAAATTTCTTAGTCTACTTTCTCTCCTCTGACAAATTATTTTATAAGATAACAATTTAAAGCAATAGAATGCATGAAAAGTCAGTAAGGAGTTAGAAAAGTATACTTGTTTGCTGTGTAAAAGACAGAGTTTAATTGAGAACCAGCAGCAATGTCATCTTTAGAGTCTAAAATGAGTGATAAACTGTCAATATTCAGAAATTCTATATCTTGAGAGATACTGCCTTTTTAAAAATCCAATTTCTACACTAGACTGTGAAATGATTTCTTATCATATATGGTGAAAAGATGGTTGTCGCCAAAACCTCCATTTTTAAGAAATTCGTTTAAATGAAGCAAAATAAAATAACTGCATGTTTTAAATGCCCACGGACTTGTAGGAAAATACTAACTAGTTTAGTGAATGTGTTCTTGTATTTCCCTGGTTATTACTCGGCCATTTTTTTATACCGCCAAAGAGGCCACGGCATGGCTTGCGTGGTCTGTAGGCCTCATGGCGGTCTTTCGTCATGACTGAATGACTTTCGTGACCTGGCCACAGAGTCCGTGGGGCAGTGCACCTAACAGCTAGAGGCCACGGCCTGTTCCACTCTGCTGTGGCGGCTTTTCCAACACAGTGGTACAAGTCATGGCGCTAACAGAAAAGAACAGAAATGTGGCAGGCGCTGAGCTAATGTGGAAAAAACAGGGAGAAGTCTGATTTATCAGAGATTTCAGCACTAAAATTCACATTTATTAGTATATCCCCTTAACGAAAATTTTTTTATAAAAAACTTAAAGCTACTTTTTTTTCAATGACATGAAACCATTTCAGTCTCCTCTCATCAAATGTATTTAAATAACAAAAGCACAATCTAAAAGAAAGAAATATATGTAACTCCTTCAGGGTAAAGTCCCAACCAGTGAAAATCAAATTAGATTAGATCTGGCCACTCCGGTTTTGATCAATCAACTTTCTACTGAGTTCACATTAAACACCATTAGAGAAAAGATAAATTTGTGACATGTTTTTGATTTTCAAAAATGTAATGGCTTGGGGAGGATTAGAGTTCAGCTGTACAAAATATCTCATCATAGACAAATGCCATTAATAAAAACTTAATAACAGCGTATTTTCCAATACTTTCCTTCTGTGATAGAAAATTTTTAATCTGGGCATTTTAATCCCCTACCTTCTAAAATAGTTTAGTAATTTTTTGTTGTTTACTTCAGCTGATTTCAAGAGTGATGCGTAAGAATGATTATTTTTGGTCTGCAACAATTAAATAGGACTATTTTAGGGCTGTTTTAAAACTCTGAAAACTCTTTTAGAGCTATTTAAACTATGTAAGTGTTTTAAACTATTTTAAAACTATATTAGAGCCTTTTAAAAACTCTTTTACAAATTTTAAACTCCATTAAAAGCTAATAAAATGTCCTATAAGAATTTCCATATCAAATGTACTAATTGTTTAATATTTTAATGCAGGATAGATATTTTAAAGGTGTCAAGGATTTACCCAGATAGGAGTATCTTGATAGAATATGTCCCTCCTTTTTTTCTAGAATTCTTATTATTTTGCTGCCAAAGCTATTTTATAAAATTCTCTGAAAAAAATTAGTAATGAAGGTTCCAAGAGGAAAAAAAAAAATCAAAACATAAGAAGTTCAGTATCTTATGTTGAACTGCTTGGTTAATGGAGGTTAACTTTATAAAAACCTGTTCACTTATCAGCAGTGTTCTTCCAGCAAAGCCTTCCTGATGGTGTTACTGTAGCTCTTGCCCTCTGAGCAGAGGGCCTGAATGCCCACAGCGGGGGATTTCCAGGAGGCCATCTGGCAGGTGCTCAGGATCAGAACCGAAGCTAGCCAGTTCCTCGTAGGCAGGTGGCCAAAGTTACAGTTGGCCCTCCTGGTCTGGTCTGTTATTGCCCCACATGATGACAACCTTCAGCCCAGGGCTCTGTCTTCCTTCGAGGCCTTTGTGAGAGGTGGGAGAGTTGCCGGCCTGATCATAGAGGGCGACAGGGCCGCACCCCAACCCAGGCACAGACTCAGGGCTTGGAGCTACTCTACAGGGTGGGTCTGGCCTTAACACACTCAAAGAAAACCCAGGAAGGACGAGGCCGCCTGCTATCATTGCACACAGTTCTGGGAGAGGCATGGGGGAAATCATCTGTGTAAGGGGCGGGGGGCCAAGACCTGGTCTCGCTTCTCAACTCTGAGGGGCTCAGATGAAATGGCCTTTGTGTCTTTGCCTGAACCACTCATGTTTACTGCAGGAGGCAGTAAAGTGAGGTCAGAAAAGCAAAAAGTCCTTAAAATGGCTGCAAAGATTCAAACGAAACAATTTAAAACTTTCTTAAGAGGTAAGAGCTAGAGAAAAACTCAAGATGGTAGACATGATATATCTCCCTCATTGCTACACAGGATAAGCTGCTCTGTCTGTCCCTCCGGGCTCTGGGACTGCCCACAAACAATATACCTAAGTGGAGAACTTCCCTGTTACTTAGAGACCATTCTCTGTGCTTCCTTCATCAGGGAATGATGTCAGGCCATCCGTCTTTTTGTTCCCGCCATCTCCGGACCAGTTACACACAGGCAGTGCCTCTGTCGTGTGCATGCTGAATAGCTTCTATCCCAAAAACGTCCAAGTCCAGTGGAAAGTGGATGGGGCTATCCAAAACACAGGCATCCAGGAAAGTGTCACAGAACAGAACAGCAAGGACAGCACCTACAGCCTCAGCAGCACCCTGACGATGTCCAGTACAGAGTACCAAAGTCATGAGAACTACTCCTGCGAGGTCACTCACAAGAGCCTGTCCTCCACCCTTGTCAAGAGCTTTCAAAGAAGCGAGTGTCAGAGTGTGGCCTAGCAGGCCCCCCACCTGCCCCTCAGTCCCAGGCTCCCTGCCTCCCCCCGTCAGGCCTCTGGCCGTTTCCCCATCAGAGACCCACCCCTGTTGCAGGTCCTTCTCCCCACCTTACTGCCTCCCCTTCTTTGGCTTTAATCAGGCTAATAATATTTGGGGGAAAATGAATAAATAAAGTGACTCTTTGCACCTGTGATTTCCCTCTTCTTCCTGATTTAATGGTTGTTATACATTGTTTTTCTCCAATTACCCAGCTTATCTTCTAAGGAACTAAATATTGAGTTGCTATGAAATACACCATCATTTATAAAAATCCTCATCCCCCATTCTACCCTACCCTACAGTCCTCTCTCTACGAGACACTCCTCTGTGAAAGCCATAAACCACCTGTCTTCATATCCCACTCCCCTGGCCTATGGCATAAAAGGCCTGCTTCCTCATTTTACCCTCCTCCATAGGCCCTCTGCGGCCTTTTAAGGGTGACAGTCCTTATAGTCACATATCTTTTGATCCAGTTGAACTTACCAGGATAATTTACTGAAAGCAAATTTTTCAAAAGAAAGAAACATCTATCAAGAGTCATTCACTGTTGGGGCGCCTGGGTGGCTCAGTTGGTTAAGCGACTGCCTTCGGCTCGGGTCATGATCCTGGAGTTCCTGGATCGAGTCCCGCCATCGGGCTCCCTGCTCGGCAGGGAGCCTGCTTCTGCCTCTGACCCTCCCACCTCTCATGTGCTCTCTCTCTCTCATTCTGTCTCAAATAAATAAATAAAATCTTTAAAAAAAAAAAAAAGAGTCATTCACTGTAACATTACATAAAATCACAAGACCATGAAAATGATCTAAATGAACAAAGAATAAGAAAATGTTAAAGTCCATTATGGCCCTTCAACCTAATGGAGTATGATGTATCTATCTGCCAAAGACCACACTGAGCACTTTACAGAAACTTAATTTAAGTCTCATTACACTGCAAAGTTAAAAATGTTAATTAAAATGTTGGGCAAGTTCTAGAAAGCTGAGAGAGATTCATACAGTATAACCTAGCAATCTTACTTCTAGATGACTGTGTCTCTGTCCACCAAAAAAACCTGTGTAAAAAGTTTCAGAGCTGCCTCATTTATAAAAGCCAAATACAGGAAATAATCCACATGCCCACCAATAATAGAATGGGCCACTAAGTTGTAGTATGTTTACACACTGAAATACTATTACAGAAAGAGAATTTTAAAATTATTACTATGCCCACTGGCATAGATGAATCCCCAAAACATGACAATAAGCAAAAGAATAGAGCAGAGGACCACAGGGGAAGGGAGGGAAAACTTAATAGGAAGAAATCAGAGAGGGAGAAAAACCATGAGAGACTCTGGACTCTGGGAAACAAACTGAGGGTTGCAGAAGGGAGGGGGATGGGGGATGGGGTAACCGGGTGATGGGTATTAAGGAGGGCACATGTTGGGATGAGCACTGGGTGTTATACACAAGTAATGAATCGTTGAACACTACAACAAAAATTTATGATGTACTATATGCTGGCTAACTGAACATAAAAATAATAAACAAACAAACAAACAAACAAACAAAAGAAACCAAACACAAAAGATATATTCTAGGGCTGTCTGAGTGGCTCAGTTGGTTAAGTGTCGCCTTCGGCTCAGGTCATGACCCCAGGGTCCTGGGATCGAGTCCCACATCAGGGCTCCTTGCTCAGCAGGGAGCCTGCTTCTCCCTCTGCCTGCTGCTCCCCCTGCTTGTGCTCTTTCTCGCTCTCAATCTATCAAATAAAATCTTAAAAAAAAAAAAGATTTTTTTTTTTAATTTCAGGGTTTTTTTTTTATTATGTTATGTTAGTCACCATACAGTACATCATTAGTTTTTGATGTAGTGATCCACGATTCATTGTTTTCGTATAACACCCAGTGCTCCATGCAGTACATGCCCTCCTTAATACCCATCACCAGGCTAACCCATCCCCCCACTCCCCTCCCCTCTAAAACCCTCAGTTTGTTTCCCAGAGTCCATAGTCTCTCATGGTTGGTCTCCCCCTCTGATTCCCCTTCATTTTTCCCTTCCTTCTCCTAATGTCCTCCATGCTATTCCTTATGTTCCACAAATAACTGAAACCATATGATAATTGACTTTCTCTACTTGACTTATTTCACTTAGCATAATCTCCTCCAGTTCCATCCATGTTGATGCAGAAGTTGGGTAGTCAACCTTTCTGATGGCTGAGTAATATTCCATTGTATATATGGACCACATCTTCTTTATCCATTCACCTGTTGAAGGGCATCTCGGCTCTTTCCACAATTTGGCTATTGCGGACATTGCTGCTATGAACATTGGGGTACATGTGGCCCTTCTTTTCACTACATCTGTATCTTTGGGGTAAATACCCAGTAGTGCAATTGCTGGGTCGTAGGGTAGCTCTATTTTTAACTTTTTGAGGAACCTCCACACTGTTTTCCAAAGTGGCTGTACCAACTTGCATTCCCACCAACAGTGTTAAGAGGGTTCCCCTTTCTTCACAACCTCTCCAACATTTGTTGTTTCTTTCCCTGTCCATTTTTGCCATACTGACTGGTGTAAGGTGGTATCTCAGTGTGGTTTTGATTTGGATTTCCCTGATGGCTAATGATGATGAACATTTTTTCTTGTGTCTGTTAGCCATTTGTATGTCTTAAAAAGATATATTCTCTATATATTTTCATTTATATAAAGTTCAAAAACAGTTAAAAATACAATTAGAAATTGGGATGGGGATTACTTTTGAGTGTGGGGTGAGGTAGTGCCTAGCAGGAGACTGGATGGGAAGGGGCTTCTGGAGTTTTGCTAAGTAAGTGCCAAAGTGTGCCACTTTGTGGAAATTTGTCAAGCTGTACAATTATAATCTGTGCACTGTTCTGTGTGTGTGTATATATATATATATATATATACACATACATATATATATATATAACTTCAAAATAAGTTCACATCAAGAAATATCTTACACTCAATTTACAGAGAAGAGAGGCTAAAGGCAGGGCCCCACAGCTGGTCAGTGGTGGGGCCTGGGACCAAATCCCCACCTGCCTACTCTCTGGAAACCTATACAATTCTGCCTTCCAGGGCTCATGGCACTGCACAGAACAAAGGGTCAAACATGCCATCCTCCTGAGGTCTCTTCTCTTTTCATCTTCCCAGAAGGTGCCATTCAGCCTGGGAACCTGTGCTGGGGGGTAGGAGGATGGGGGTTGTTATAAAAGTGAACAAGGTGGGACCTAATGTTTTAGTAAACTAAATGGGTGGTCAGAGTGGCCACTGGAGGACCTAAAGCTGAATCTGAAAGACAGAAGCCAGGGGCTCTGTGCTCTCTCCCCACTGGGTGAGCACAGGTGAGTTAGCACTAGGGTTCAAATCAGCCGTCACCATGAGTCTGGCCAGATGCAGTGGACAAATTATTACACTGTTTTCCCACAGCATTGTTTATCTATAATTGCCTGGGAAAACATGCTCACAAGTCATAACAGAAAGTTACTTGACTTTCGTGCCTCAGTTTTCTCATCTGAAGGTCTTAGTTGTAAGACTGTTGTAAAAATTAAATGAAATAATTCAAATGAAGTGCTAAACACCCAGCCAATGTATACCAAGGGAGGTGCAAGCATTAGTCAACCATCATAAGAGTGGCTCCATTTGGCTACCATTTGATTTCTTTCAAGGGGCTCCTTCAACTTATTCTCCAGTCATAATTCTTTTAACCCCAAAGACTTCCCTTTCCCCAACTGGAGTGCTTTAATACCTTTGTTGAAAATCAACTGACTACAAAGTTGGGTCTATTTCTAAGATCTCGATTGCATTCCATGATCTACTGTCCATCCATCCTTATACCAGTAGACACTGTCTTGATTACAGAAGTTTTAGGAGCTCCCTTTTTGGATGTGCTAAGTCTGAGATGCATATCAGACAACCAAGCAGAGATGATAGGTAGACAACTGGATATAAGACCCTGTAATGTGGAAGAGAGAGGTCATTCTAGAGGCATAAATGTAGTGTCATCACCATACAGATGATGTTAAAAATCTCTCACAGACTGTGAGACAATACCTAGCAAGCAAGCAGGGATAGAGAAATTCAAGCACTGAGCTGGGAGGCACTCCAACATTAAGAACTTGGTGAGATGAGGAAGAACCAGAAAAGAAGACTGAAAAGGATTGGCCAGAGAAGGAGGAAAATCAGGAGAGTGGTGTGTCCTGGAATCCAAGAGAGGAAATGTTACAAGGAGGAGAAACTGATCAGTTGTCAACTGTGTCAATTGGAACAAAAATGGACCTCTGGATTTAGAGATGGGGGGGTCGTTAGTGAACTCAATAGAAGCAGCGTCTATAGAACGGGAGAGGTAAAATTCTGATCAGAATGGGTTCAAAAGAAAATGGGAGGAAAGAAATTGGAGACAGTGTGCATGGCTAATTCTTTGGAGGAAAGAGTTAGGGAAAGGCAGCATCTGGAAGGAGAAGAGAAATGACAGCCTTTCTGAATGCTAATGCGAATAATCCAGGACAGAGGAAAATATGGTGCTGCAGGAGAGACAAGAGAAAAATGCCGGAGCGATGTCCTTGAGTAGGTGAGCCAGGGTGGGTGGAGCACAGGGGAGGCGCACCCCTTTCTGGGAACATGGATGGTTCACCCAGGGACAGAGGAGAAGGGAATGTCTATGCGCACTAACAGAGAGGTCCTCAAACATGCTGGGAAGTGTTCATGGCTTCTCCAATAAATGTGCAGAATTTAGATTGTGGAGGTTTAGCAATTCAGGAAGACTTTGTAGACTGAAGTACACAAGTAAAGTCTCTGGGCAGGGGAAGCTAAGAGAAGATGGAGAAGAGTGAAGTTCACAAGGGAGGCAGTCCCCTTACCATCTGCCACTTCCTCTCCCCTAGGCTCCACATGCCAACTCATTCCCCGAATTCTTAGAGACCATTGGCATGGGAAAGACCCCCACAGACACCTCCTGTCTCTCCCCTTAGCTCCTCTCAGCCTTTTTACCCCTCCATTTACCTACCAATCTCTTCTCAGAATTTGAATAGCTCTTACTATCCCTACTGTGTGGTTACTTATCTCTTAAGAGAAGATTCTACCTCCTAACTCTGGAACCTTCTGTATCCCTGAAGCCAGCAAGATTCACTGCCTAGAGGAAGAAAAGGGATGATG